GGGGGGGACGAAAAGCCTCCGTTTCTGTTTCAAAGAGTGGATTAACATTTAAAGACGACATGACCGGATGGACGAGCTGGAGTCTGACAGATGTTTCCTCTCCCGGCCTCTGATTGGTCGGTTGTCCGTTAGAAAAAACTCCGAGGCCTCGTGTCCTTTCCTCCATGGTCAGACCGCGACCCTCCATTTTTCCCGCCTATAAGGGGGGGCTCAGAGAGAGGAGAGGTGGACCCTCAGTTTCAGCCTGATCTGACCCGGATACCGTCTAAAAACCGGTCGCACACACCGAGGACGACGGTCACTCGGGCCTGAGGGGGTCCCTCCTGGATCCCTCCTGGGTCCCTACTGGGTCCTTCCCGGGCGCTGTGGGTCCTTCCTGGGTCCCCCCTGGATCCCTCCTGGGTCCTTCCTGGATCCCTCCTGGGTCCTTCCTGGGTCTTTCCTGGGTCCTGGGACAGAACAGGAATGGCGATTGGCCCTGGTCTGGACTCCGGTCTGCTTCCTTTTCAGCCCCTAGACGCCATCACGCTAGCCCCTCGGCTTTAGTCGACGTATCTCTGGACAGCGGGACGCCACTCCCCGTCCGGTGTCGTACTTCTCTTAATTTTCCTTTCTTCTTCTTCTTTTTTTTATCTGTTCTTAAATGTCTGCCCGGCGAGCGTTTGGGAGGCGTTCGGGGCTCAGAGGGACGGCGCATGCTTTGGGTGGAGGGCCAGGACTCCCGCGGATGTAGCTAAAGAGAAAAAAAAAAGGCTTGTATGTAATTATTAGTCCTATTATGTGTACGATCTAATGGAATTTAATGAAAGGGATCTTCTTTCCTATCCTCTATAATTCTGTATGCTTTTTGTATTACCACACAAAATAAAGTAAGGATCCTTTAAGTGCCTGAATTTACACCGTGCGCCTGCTGGTTTTTTCTTCCACCGGTTCAGCCGGTCGTTGGAGTCTTTTAGTCCGTTATCGGGTTCTCTGGTTGACTTCATCTGAAAAGGTTTCGGTGTCTTTGTTTGTGGGGGGAAAATGTCAAAGTGAGCTTATTCTTTAGGCCTCAAAATGCCCAACTGTCCTCTGGCATCAGAGATAAATAAAAAAAAGAGTTTTACTTTGAAAGGAAAGATTGATAAAGATTGTTATTCTGGTCTAATATATTTGTCAGACTTCTTGGAAAAAAGTTAAAACCCAATTAAGATATTGATTTGTTATTTATCAGTGTGAAAAAAAGGCATTTTGAACTTATTTTATAGATTTTTAAACTGTGGTGATTGTTTTTCTTATTGTTAGAGGCAGTTCAGGGACTTTAACTCCAGTTTGGATGTGTGTCAGCTGGAAAAAGTCCAATTGATTTAACATAATTTCCCAATAATCAAACTGTATTTTGAAGTCATGTTAAATATTATGCTTTGGTAATCGGCTAAGACCCAGAAATGACTCTTTTTCTTTCTTTGATTAAACTGGTTGAATCCCTCTTCCTCCCAAAATTCCCATACAACCATTTCAGGCGATTTTCTGAGTGTTTTTCTGTCAAATCTGAAACTAAAGTGGCCGACCCCAGCAAAAAACTGCCCTGCTCTGATTGGTCGATGTGTTTTCTATTCAAAGAATCTAATCAGATCTATAAATGATGGTTGTTGACATATTAGTCATCTGTCCAGTCTTTACTGATTAACTGACCTACAAACTGTCACTGTTCTACATTATAAGAGATAAAAAAAAACTGTCCACTTGTCATTTCTTAGCTTGTCTTCCGGCTTTGTGTCAAAAACACTCACAAATCGACTCATTTAGAAGAAATCAGGTGTTAGCGCTTCGACAGGCCTTCCGGGGCAACTTCTGTCTTCTCAAACGTGAAGAGGAAATGGAAATATAACACCATTTGAGGAGCCAAAGAAAGGTACACACAGAGTGCAGCCATTTTGAGCCTCAGGAGGAAAAACCCCAGACACCTCCGGACCGGTCCAACAGGTTCTGTCTCCCCACTGACAAACAACACATGGGAAATACACTGAACACGTGTCTTTTATTGACTTTTGACAAACACCTCCTTCCAAACAAGCCTTTTTTTTGGCGCTTTCACAAGCAGATTATAATCAGGCAGAAAGGAGCGCAACGACACCAAAAATGTCCAATAATCTGTTAGTTTCCATCCTAAAGGTCCAGCTCGGTCCAGTCCAGTCGGGCTCAGGCCACAGAATCGGTATCCCTTCCCCCCATTCACAGCCCCCCGGGGTGTGGGGGTGGGGGGGGTTAACTCCAACAGGTGCGCACATGCGCGTAAAGAGCCGCGTCCCAGCCGGGGGATCCATTCCGGACTCTCTCCTCTTTTTCTTTTTTCTTCTTCTTTTCCCATCGGGCTCAAAGCCCTTTCCATTGGTCAGATCCGTGGTCTCATTTGATGTCCGTGACGGTTTTATAGTTCTTGATCAGCACCTCCAGCAGTTTGTACCTCCAGAAAAGCTTGTCTCCGATCTGGCGCAGCTCGCGCGCGCAGAGAGCAGCGGTAGCAACATCTGTCAGGGTAAGAGAAAACACAGTTTTAGGGACAGGTTACACTCCGGGATTTAATTTAACACCGTGGTGGATCGGAAACTCGGGTTCCTCCGGGGAACCGGAACACTTACCGGGCACAGACATTGTCGTTGTCCTGGAAAAAAGGCTCCAAAGTTCAGACTGGCGATCCGGGTCCGGGTCTCGCTTTTTAAAGCTTCTCTGTTTATGCCCAGAGAAGGAAGAATGACTCTGCTCTTTTCATAGAGATGTGGGCTTATATACACCCCCGTGACTTCCCCCGGGGCCCCCCCCCCCCCCCCCCCCCCCCTCCTCCTCCTTGTTATTGAGTTGTCTTACCTGTGACGTGACGCTCCGCGCGTCTTTACGCACACCTGGACACAAACACCTGCTCTGTCTGTGAGCTTCCACGCCAATAATGAAAGATAAAAATACATTTATAAATTAAAAATGTGTTTTATTCCTTATATAAATAAGGTAACAGACAGACGGATTCACGGATACGATACTGAAAGCAAAACAAAACAGAGAGACGCAGCGTCACATGAGGACACGTCATTGTTTACGCCTGGTGCCTTGGGGCTTGTGTAAGCCCTCCATAAAGATTAGTTGTTTCTTTTTTGGGTTCCTCAGAGCAAACTGTCCAGCTCTGAGCTGTAAAAGCTGCCCAGAGGAGCCCCGGAGGCCCGTTTGTGTCCTAACAGTTGATAGTGAGGACGCAGTGGGGGTAAACAGAGATCCAGAGCAGGGCAGACATGTTGGGGCATAGAGCTGCAGGGGGGGAAGTACCTGGAAATCACAGTCCTCAGTCTGCTGATCTGATAGCTTCAGGCAGAATAGCTGCAACCACACCTCATTCAGAGGGAATTTTCAGACTAAAAATAACTTTACACTTTACAAGAAGGCCCGCAGCATCTTACTTTGCTGTAATGGAATAAAATGAAGGGTAAAGGGATGGTTTAACACCACTTGACTGATTATTAACCCCCCACTCAGGTCAATAATGGTCCACCTGATTGGTTAACAGGACCACAAATTGGAAACAAACAAGGAATTAATGAGTTTGGTCAGGAATGGCTGAAGAGTTTGTCAATAATGTCAAAGTATTAAGGTAATAATTGTCCTATAATAATACAAATATAATATAATATAATGGAATATAATATAATATAATATAATATAATATAATATAATATAATATAAAATAAATAATAATAATAATGTATATTATACTATAATATATTAATATTCAAACCGCATCACAGTCACCTGCTTCCTCGTGACAGTTCTGGTTTAACTGGCAGGTAAACAGAATAAAAAACCAGACAGGACTCATTCATTACAGACTATTGGAGCTTCCGTGATGCTCAGAAATGAGCCGTCTGAGCAGCGTCCACCTGCAGTTTACGGGCACCAGGCGTGTGTTTCCAGATCACTGGGGCATTTACTCCTCAGCACCCATGATTCAGTCCTTCAGCTGCGTCACTTTTTGTTGTTCTTTTAATGCGCCATCGCGTAAAGTGTTGCATCACACTGAGTGTTCAGCACTTCCTCATCCACTGAACGTGGGTTTATGCTATTGGTGATGTAAAGAAATCGGAAGGGGCTGAAGTTCCTCATCACTTTTTCATAAACAACATCTTTTATGCACCATCATTGTGATATTTTCATACATATATATGTGTATATATATATATATATATATATATAGTGATTGTGTGTGTGTGTGTGTGTGTGTGTGTATGTGTGTATGTGTGTATGTGTGTGTGTGTGTGTGTGTGTGCATGTACAGTCTGATAGTGGCTGCTTACACACATACGAGGGACCAAAGCTCAATAGGTCAAAAATGCTGTTGAATAAGCCAACAGGTGTACATATTTTACTCCATCATAACATCAATATTAATCCCTTAACCCTTTAAAGCCTGATCCAAGAATAAACTAAACAGAAAATTACTTTTTTTGGTTTGAATTCCTTATTTGCCCTTTTAACAAAATATGTAAAAAGAAAAAAAAAATTTTTATTACTATGCGATAAGTCAAGATTATTACTATTTTTTGTGTAGTCTTCTGTCCCCTGTTATCAGGTGTATCTGATTGTGTACAATAGGATTTTGAGCAAAGTTTTTCTCATTAAATTATACAAAAGGTGTCAGACGCAAAACATTTCAGAAACCGTATGAATCAGATATGATACATTTGGCATTACAGGGTTAATAACTACCAAACTAGATCTGACAGATGGACTTAAAAACTCCATGAATGAACCCTAGGAGCCAATGTTTTGGCTCCTGTCGACCACTCGTGCTGCTGAGGAGGGCGTGGTCCTGATATCAGCATTATGAGATGTTTTTGTCCCTTTCTGGGGCCAAACGGACAGACGCACACAGTGTGAACACCTGTATCAGTGACTGTACCTGCCCGATGTTTACCGCTGGGATGTTCTGTGTGACGACAGCTATTTTATTAGACTGTATGTTTCCAGACGTAGGCCTTTGAATGGCCTAAATGCAATAACTTATGTAATAAAGTTAGTAGAAATATTAAGGAGCAGACCATGCCACTAGTATTAGAGGATATTTTCCCCTTAAACACTTCAATAATCCCTTAAATGTGTCTCAGTATTTAAATATAATTTGACAAATCTTATGTCCTTTTGCTGCCTGTTATAAAATGCATATTTAGAGGATATTAGGAATCCAAATGTAAAAAAAGAATACTCTTAATCCGTTAATTGAGCCAATAAACAGGGAAAAGATTATTTAACTGTTAAGTAATCTGACTGGTCAGACATCAGATGATGTCACGAGCTCTGACCAATCATAAAAGAGCCAGAATGAGTCAGACCTCTAAGTTTAGAGTTAAATATGATGTATTTCATGTGTTCATCCGTTCAGGAAATGACGATGTGCGATATTTGTTTCTAATTTTGGGCCTAAATCTGAGTTTAGAGCCGACCCTGAAGCCTGTAGTTGCCCCTATCGGACACTAGGTGGCAGCAGAGTCGAGATCGAGACCAAAAAGTTCACCATCAGGCCGCGGTCGCTTCTCACTGCGCATGCGCAAGTCCACAGCCCCGTCGCTCCTTATTCAGCCTTCAGTCTGAGCGGAGTCACACACATCCTCCTCCCCAGTCCAGCTCAGACATGAAAAACCTGCATTTCAAAGATTTCTTCTGGGTGAGTGTGGCTGATTTGACTTGACTTATTTCCGGAGTGTAGTTGCAGCGTTTTTTGGACGCGCTTTAAAAGAACGATCCAAACTTTTATTTATGGCAAACATCCCTAACAGGACAGTACACATATCTGTTATAAATATACATAACTTTAATAGAATCACAACTGATAATGATGTTCTGAAATATCAATTTTTCTCAGAATTACCTTGTTTTTTCTGAGAAAAATATCAATGTTTCTCAGAATTTCCTTGTTTTTCTGAGAAAAATATCAATGCTTCTCATAATTTCCTTGTTTTGCTTTCAACTTAGTACTCAAAAACTATTTCTTTCTCTGGGCTTTTGCATATTAATGAAGCAGAACCAGCAGCTCTGAAAAAGTTATGGAAATGTCCAGGTCAAATCCATGATTTCAGAGATAAAAACATCCTAAAAGCGTGTCCCCGCTTTGACAGAACGCGGACCTGACCAGCACTGGAGGCTATGACGCCATCATCCAGTACCTGAGCGATGGGAAACGGACCTGCAAGGAGGTGGAGGACTTCATGAAAGCCAGGTAACGCCACACAAGCCAAATCTGTGGTCGCTGATTAATTTGCTGCACGTCCTTAAGCAGGTAGGACCACATGGACCAACTGGTGTGGTCTAAATAATGCAGAGGAAGAAGTATGAGCCATTGGCCACAAGTCTAGGCCACAGGGGAGTTTATTTATAACAGAGATGAGGTTTATGGAGAAATTAAAGCTAAAGAAAAGGAGAGAAATTAGATTTTTACTAATAAATTTTATTGTCAGGATGGGGTGTCATCATTCCCCCTTCCTCATAGAATGATTAACCTGCTGGGACACTTGCACCTTTGTAAAAAGATGCACTAATTTTCATAAAATGATACGGTTTCCTTTTTATGACCCTGAAAAAGCAGAGTGCGTATGATATCTCGTTATAAAACATGGAAATACTGTAGCTAAGGCCGATTCACAGAGAGGTTCCCCAATTCATGAATCGAAAGCAGGTCGTTAAGCTCCGGCGGTGTGTGAAATAGAGGAAGTAGGTCCGTTTAAAATGGAGTTTACCATAAGGAAACGTGTTTTATTTAGAGTGCGTTGTGTAAAAATGGAAAATATAAGAGTGAATAAGCTTTTACACCCTGGCCTGGTGTGGGTAGAAACTTTTTCAGAGCTTTTAATTTCAGTTTTCTGACTTGCAAAGTTGACTCAGTAAAAAGATGGTGAATTCAGAACAAGTAATTATCATTATCATTGACATGTTTTTCTATATTCTGTAAAAACAATCATAATATTACAAATCCATCCATTTTCTGAACCGTTAATTCCCAAATGGGGTCACTGGAGCCTAATGTTACAAATCCACATGTTGTATTTTTTCACAATAAAATGAGTAACGTTCTCATCATACAAACGTACAAGATTTAATCGTCCCCAAAAAATTTCTTGCTGCTAGTTTGATGCAAAAAAAAATGACACAGGAAAGCCAGAGTGTGTCTGTGTCAGCAACACAAACGATCCTAATGAAAAAAAACTCACAATATCTCAGTTTTCTCATCTCGAAAACAGCTTCACATGCTAATTTATGAACACGTGTAGCTTTAAATAACAGATAAACTTTGTTAATTAGACTGGTTTTCCAGTCTAATTGACTAATTACACTGATCAGTGTGATCATACGCTGATTAATAGTGTTAATCGGTGGTTTGGGAGCTTTTTTTAACCTGAATCCTTTATTGTTTCTTTCAGGGCGTCGGTGGAAGAGAAGTACGCCAAAGACCTGCTCGGTTTGTCCAAGAAGGTGTGTGGACACAATGAGATGAAGTAAGCAAAACCTGTGCGCGGAGATGCTGTCATTATGGGTTTGAGGAGCTCTGTTTTCCCGCAGGGGCCCCGACAATTAAAGGCACCGGTGTGTGTTTTCGTCTGGAGTCTGGAGGCAGGTTTAAATCCAGACAGCATACGGGAACATTCAGACTCTCACAATCATTGTTTTTCAAAGTGAAAATGGGGAATAACTCCATCACACAGCCTGTTGTGTGCCGTCCTCCTCAGGTTTTAGTTAACTTTTAGTTGTTTCCTCACCGATGAGTTCAGTTCCTGTTCAGTTAGGTGTCCGATGACCGGCCTGTTTTGTTTCTGTTCAGAGGTATCAGCTCATTTCTACGTGTCCATCATAGGGTTGTACCTCTAACAGTCCCATATGGGGAGTTCTTAACCCTTTAAAGCCGGATCCAAGAATAAAACAAAACAGAAAATAACTTTTTTTGTTTGAAATCCTTATTTGGCCTTTTAACAAAATATGTAAAAAGGAAAAACAGAAATACATTTTTAATATTAATGATTTATTTCTATGCGATAGGTCAAGATTATTTTTGTGTAGTCTTCTGCCCCCTGTTATCTGGTGTATCTGATTGTGTACAATAGGATTTTGAGCAAAATTTTTACCATTAAATTATGCAAAAGGTGTCAGACACAAAACATTACAGAAACCGTATGTATCAAATACGACACATTTGGCATTACAGGGTTAAATTGAATACATTGAATTAACCCCAGGACCATAGAGAAGGCCTAAAAGCATTGAATTTAGCTTTAAAAAAGTCCTGGGTTTCATGCTGAAGGCCATGGATAGACATGCATTAGACTTTTTCACACTTTAAGTTTCCAAAGGAAGCTCCTTTAGTTTGTAAATCAGAAAATAATATGCATTCTTTTTGTTGGATGTTATGGTGCATAGTCTTTTTATCCCACAGAATTACAAACTAAATACACAAGTCAGAGGAAACAAAGACTATGAGACTGTAAACTTTTTATCTATTAGCTGTAGCATAAAGCATTTACTCTGGTTCTGGTTGCATCAGTTTGATCGACAATTAGGAAAATAAAAATGAAAATAAAGCAACACAAACATGAGAATTTCTCATAATGAACATAGTTCAGACTCTTCCGATGACCATGTAGCACCATTTTTCCCTTTTTATGTAGAATCCAAACACATTGTGAATGTCTGTAATATTTGTTTAAACGTCATTTCTAATCTACTTCTTCTTTTTTTTCCCCTAAAGCACGTTAAAAAGATCCATGGACATGCTCAAATTACGTAAGAAGACACATGTTCTTGGATTCATATCTGGCTCATTCACATGTGAGTTTCATCTCTTCATTTCGGCGTAACGTTCACGTCTAATAACGCTTTTATCCCCCAGAGACGGAACAGGTGAGTCTGACCCACCTGCAGCTGGCCCAGAGCATGAGGGACGAGGCCAAGAAGCTGGAGGAGTTCAAAGAGAGGCAGAAAGAAGCCCGGAAAAAGGTCAGTCAGTGTTCTCGCCGCCATTGTGACAAGACCCTCCTCCTCACAGGCTGAAAAAACTTCTGGAAAAAACTGTCGTTTTAGATCGAGCAGCACATGGACGCCCTGCACAAGCAGAAGACCTCCCAGTTCAAGAGGACCATGGACGTAAGTAGAGACAGAAAACTGTTCCCGGGTCATCTGGGGTTGTTTTGTGTTGTTTGTCGTTTTTTTGGTTGTTTTTTTGTGCTCTTGTCTGCAGATTTTTAAAGGTTTTTGTTTATTTTTTTTCTTTGTGGTTCATATTTTATTAATATTTCAGTTAGATCTTAAGTTTTTCTTTTTTTTTAAGGCATAAATCTAATTTATTTACAGCTTTTATTCTTTCAACTGGAGTTGTTTTGTTTTGTTTGTCTTTTTTTTTTTTTTTTGTGCTCTTGTCTGCAGATTTGAAAGGTTTTTGTTTAGTTTTTTTTATTTTTGGTTCATATTTAATTAATATCTAAGTTAGATCGTACGTTTTTCTTCTTTTTAAGGATGAATTCTCATTTATTTGCAGCTTTTATTCTTTCATCTGGAGTTGTTTTGTTTTGTTTGTTGTTGTTTTTGTGGGTTTTTTGTGCTCTTGTGTGCAGATTTTAAAGGTTTTTGTTTAGTTTTTTTAATTTTTGGCTAATATTCTATTAATATTTCAATTAGATCTTAAGGTTTTTCTTCTTTTTAAGGCTAAAATTTCATTTATTTACAGCTTTTATTCTTTCATCTGGAATTGTTTTCTTTGTTCTTTATTTTTGTTTTTTTGTGCTCATGACTGCAAATTTTAAAGGTTGTTGTTTAGTGTTTTCTTTGTGGTTCATATTTCATTAATATTCAGTCAAAATCTGAAGTTTTCTTTATTTTTAAGGCCAAATTCTCATTTCATTGCATTCTTTATTCTTTATGAGCGGGGTTTCTTTTGCTCTAGGCCTTAAATTTAAATGTTTTATTTAATTTGATTATTTTTGGTCATATTTTATTAATATTCAGTCCTTCCTCACACCTTTTTTCCTGTAAAGCCTTCATTAAAAGCTAAGCTAGCTGGTTTGTAGATACAAACGGACCATTAAAATGCCTGCAAATGACCCGTAAAACTAAACAACGATCAGGCCTGTGGTTGTTTTCTAACTCTAAACCGAAATGAAAACCAGTTACATCTATTTTTGAGTCAGCTCATTGTCAGTTAGATGCCACCCAGTGCCTCTTCGGTTCTTCCTCTTTGGGAGAGGAAGTCGTGTTTGGCCGGCCTGCGACGTGAACCGAAGCGTCCTCATCAAAACAAGAAGTCACGCTACTGTATGATCAGAGGACTGAAAAAGAAAAGCCGTGTGTGTGTACAAACGGATGGGGATGACGCCTGTTTTCTCCTCAGTCCAAAAAGGCCTACGAGCAGAAGTGTCGAGACAAAGAAGAGGCCGAGCAGAATGTGAACCGGAACACCAACACCAGCAACACCAAGCACATAGAAAAGGTACAGCCGGGATTTTAGAGGGAGAGTGGGACCTTTTCCAACAGATTTGAACTGTTTGGGATCCAATCCGACATGCTAATGATCCATAGAAGTGATGAGGTGAAGAAGTGTGCTGCTTTTGGTTCGCAAACACGATAAAATCCCAGAGTTTGATCCAAAAAAAGAGCATCCCATGATAAGATAAGATAAGCTTTATTGATCTCACAGTGGAGAAATTCACTGGTCACACATCGGTTTAGTCATTAAAGAAGGTGCAAACAAGGAGGGAAAGGTGCGTAAAGTATAAACAATAAGAATAAATAAAAATACAAGGGAGTAACACAGAGATTTGAGTGACAGTATGTACAATCAGGATGGCTTATATATAGTATACAGGGTAGAGAAAGTTGTGTGGAAAAAATCAAGCCATCCATTTACATAGTGTATCTCCCATAGTGCAATTATAAAATTCAGCTAAAATCAGTTTTTCCTGTCAGCTGTTCAGATTCTGTCATTTGTTTTTAAATAATATAATTATATGACATATATATGTCATAATGGGAGGAATTGCCAGCGTCCAGAAGAAGTGACCGCTTCCTTCCCTGTAAAAGGACTCCGCCTCTGTGGTGGCGTGTGGCGTGCACTTCTGCTTTAATTGTGCACGCTCGCATTAATAAGTCACACGTGGCTTTGGTCTCAAAAGTCATCGAACCTGCTCCATTTTCCAGACCTGATGCAGCTTTACTAAAACACACTAAAACCACCAACGTGAAGCAGGGCTATCAGAACTGACCCACTGGCTGATTATACGTCCTATGTTTGAATATTGACTGTGTCTTTTATCAAATTCACTATTTTATCTTTTTTTTTCAGAATAATTTTCATTCGGTTAGTAAAGGCATTAAAACTATTGCCTTTATGCTCTTAAATAAAGGTTCAAACAAGCAGAGAAGTGATGGATTTAGTTTTTTTTTGCACTTTCTGAGAGTTTGGGTTGAAAGTAACTTATTTTCTGAGTCCTTCTGTGTCTGTTCAGGGTGTGTTTGGACTCTTTTCACAAAGGTGGCGGAAAAACTGTGTGGAAAAAAATCGGTTTTCTGTGTGTGATGTGTTTTTTTTGTTGTTTTTCAGCTCAACTCAAAAGCGCAGCAGGCCAAGCAGAACGCAGAAGAAGCAGGTAAACGAGCAACAGCAAAAACCTTCTCCGTCTTCTCTGTAAAACTCTTTAAAACTGAGAGAGCGGATGCATCCGACACGCTCCAAAATGAATTGGAAATGATGGATCAGATGCCAGCTTTTTAAAAAATGAGTGCTCAGTAAATTGAAAATGTGCCCAGTCTTAAACCTATAATACCAAATGTATCATATTTGATACATATTGTTTCTGAAATGTTTAGCGTCTGACACCTTTTGCATAATTTAATGGTAAAAACTTTGCTCAAAATCCTATTTTACACAATCAGATACACCTGATAACAGGGGGCAGAAGACTACACAAAAAATAATCTTGACTTATCGCATAGTAATAAATTATTAATATTAAAAATGTATTTCTGTTTTTTCTTTTTACATATTTTGTTAAAAGGCCAAATAAGGAATCCAAACCAAAACAAAAGTAATTTTCTGTTTTGTTTTATTCTTGGATCAGGCTTTAAAGGGGTTAAAGGATGAGCTTAGAAAACTCCTGAACTCACTTTAAACTGTTGAACTCAGTGCTTGTATGAAGGAAGTTACCAATTTCCCGGTGGTTGGGACACATCAAACTTGACTTTTTTGTTTTTTTTTGCCTGACGCATTAGTGAACAGAGTTGGTTTGATTGAGTACCGATGATTTCCAACTCGGAAAACGTCCCGTTATGTTTTATTTAATTATTTTTTTTCAAACTTTGTTTATTTGGTTTTTAACAAGAATTGGATAGCCATACATTTACAATGTGATGCACATAAAACAAACCGTACAATTCCCTTGAGTTATAAAAACAAAACAAAAGCGTTATTTCTTTAAATAACCAAACATCTGTAGAGCGTGATAAAAATGGAATTGTTTTTGTCCTGTTGCAGACAGGCTGTACCAGCAGAACGTGAGCACGCTGGCTAAACTCAGAGAGGATTGGCTGAAGGAGCACGTCCAGGCATGTGAGGTAGGTTGAGTTTTAGCCGGTTTTTGTTGGAGCCTGCCCGTGGTTTCTACCCTCCGCCTGCCCCCTTTCAAACGCAGGTGTTTGAAACGCAGTCCTCGGAGCGGATCAGCGCCCTGAGGAACACCATGTGGACCCACCTGAACCAGCTCTCCCAGCAGTGCGTCACCAGTGACGAGGTGAGGCTCCATAAAGGCCTAAAAGAATCCTTTTCTTCTCTCCAGTCAGACTGAATTAACCCCAGGACAACAGAAAAGGCCTAAAAGAATTTAACCCTATATTGCCAATTGGACGAACTAAAGGAGATTCCTTTGGAGACTTAAAGTGTGAAAAAGTCTAATGCATGTCTATCCATGCCAGTCAGCATGAAACCCAAGACCTTTTCAAAGCTAAATTAAATTATTTTAGGCCTTTTCTATGGTCCTGGGGTTAATTCAATGTATTCAATTTAACCCTGTAATGCCAAATGTATCATATTTGATACGTACAGTTTCTGAAATGTTTTGCGTTTGACACCTTTTGTATAATTTAATGGTAAAAACTTTGCTCAAAATCCTCAAAATTGTACACAATCAGATACGCCTGATAACAGGGGGCAGAAGACTACACGAAAAATAATCTTGACTTATCGCATAGTAATAAATTATTAATATTAAAAAAGTATTTCTGTTTTTTCTTTTTACATATTTTGTTAAAAGGCCAAATAAGGAATTCAAACAAAAAAAAAAGTGATTTTCCCTTTTGTTTTATTCTTGGATCGGGCTTTAAAGGGTTAATTTAGCTTTGAAAAGGTCTTTTGTCTCATGCTCAGGCATTGGATAGAGACAAGCATTAGACCCGTCATGGCCTTTTTCCCACTTTCAGTTTCCAAAGGAATCTCCTTTAGTTTGTCCATCAGGAAGAAAAATGTGCGTTCCTTTTGTTGGATGTTATGGTGCATAGTCTTTTTATCCCACTGAATTACAAACTAAATACACAAATGTACCTGTACTTTGTATTTTTTTGTATTTTTTTGCATTTTGCTCTCTGTGTGCCACTTTTTTTGCCCTGTAAGCTGCTGGTAACTTTAATTTCCTGAGGGAGTCTTCCCAAGGGATCAATAAAGTAAAAGTCTAAGTCTAAATCTAAGTCAAAGGAAACAAAGACTATGAGACTGTAAACCTTTTATCTGTTAGCTGCAGAATAAAGGACTTTTACTCTGGGTCTGGTTGCATCAGTTAGATCGACAAAGAGGAAGCTAAAACCTGAAAATAAAGCAACACAAACATGAGAATTTCTCATAATGAACATAGTTCAGACTCTTCCGATGACCATGTAGCACCATTTTTCCCTTTTTATGTAGAATCCATACAGGATAAACTGGTTTGATTCACATTATGAATGTCTGTAATATCTGTTTAAACGTCATTTCTAATCTATTTCTGTGATGCCACAGTATTGTACAAAATTAGCCAAACTTTCTGTGTCTTGAAAGTGAACATTTATTTCCTTATAGATGTAAATAGGAGTCATAAAGGCCATCGTAGTCAACATTAATTCAGATTTCCAATTATTGTAAATAAGTCTGAAATATCACAATCAGAATCAGAATCAGAATAAGGTTTATTGCCAAGTAGGTTTTTAGACTTACAAGGAATTTGCCTTGGTGTTTGGTGCACAACACAACGCTTCTATGAGAAGCAAGAAATAAAATGCAGAAATAAAAATATAGGACAGAAATGATACTGAACTGAAAAATACAATCTTTAAAAATATAGATCTGAACGTACAAATGAGTTGTGTTGTTTTAAAAGTGTGTTCTGGACCATTTTAGCACTTAGTTTTATCATGTTTTGTCTCTCTGCACTTACCATCAGTTTTCAGTTAGAAATTATGACTTTGGAGAAGTTTCAGGAAGCTGATGAGACACACATTTCTAAAAAAAAAGTCTCATATCTAAATGAATGTTGCACGCGGCCCAAATCAGACAGATTTGTGTGTGTTTGCTCACAGCTGTATGAGGAAGTGAGAAAGTCTCTGGAGCAGTGCGACATCCAGGAAGACATCGAGCACTTTGTGAACCTCCGGCGGACCGGGGACAAGCCTCCAGGTACCGACCGGGCTGGAACTAAAGGGGAACCTCTCGTATGGGCTTTGTTTTCCCGGACCCGAACCGTGTCTGTGTTCCTCCCAAACAGGTCCGGTCTTGTACGAGAACTTCTACAACGCTCAGAAGCCTCCGGCTGCAGCCCCGGCCTCCCGGCAGCCTCCCCCACCCAGGTGAAGCCAGCCCAGGTGTTTCCAGATGTTTCCAGATGTTTTCCGTTTGCCACCGCTGTAAAGTCACCATCTTTTTCTTTTTGTCTTGTTCTGCGGATTTTTGCAGAAGAGGGCCGTTACCTGACCCAACACAGAACAGCAGGGGTATGTTTTTTTTATTATAAACGGGGAAAAGGATTATTTGAAAAAGTAAAAGAGGGATTAAAAGAGCAAGCGGCCCATTTTAGTGTAATCTGTCCCATTTTAATATCAATAAATAGTTGTATTTTTATCCTTTTCTGTGCCTAACACATAAAAAAAATAATAGGAACTAAGTTTGATACTAATATAACTAATTAACCCATAACTAAACCATAACAAGGTAATAAAAGCAATAGAAATCGAATAATTTTATTTTAAATGTTTGACACATCATGGGCAAGCGGCCCATATTAGTGTAATCTGTCCCATTTTATTATCAATAAATAGTTTTATTTTTATTCTTTTTTGTGCCTTAACACATAAAATGTTTTAATAGGAACTAAGTAGGATACTAATATAACTAATTAACCCATAACA